GTGACTAGCTCGGCGGACGGGGCTGCCCGAGCTCTTTTTCCGGCACGTCGTGCAGAGGGTTCGCGGCTGGATTGCCCGGCGGATTGAGTGGCAAGAGCGACCACAGCGCCACTGGATTGACCGGCGGCTGGTGACCGAGTTACTACGCTCGGCACCTCGGCGGATGTGGCGGTGAGCAGGTTCTTGATTCTGCTGCGCTTGGCCATTTCTTGTTCCTCGGTCAGGCGAATAAGGGGAACGTCAGGAAGGGAAGGATCTGGAGGCGGCGAAGGAGCGCGGAGGAAGTCAGTTACTCTACTCCGGCGCGGAGCAGAATACCTGTATGTCGGTGTGTAGCCAAGTAATTCGTTGCAATCTCGGCGAGGATACCGAAGCACGGTCCGAATTGCTTCGACGTTGGGAAATTGATAGTTGGCTTGCAAGGCTTGGATTGCTGCAAAAGAAACAGGAAAACCGGTTAGTTACAGAGTAAAGAGTTAGGCTGACCGAGCAAGTTTGAGTGGCTTACATGAAGAACCGAAGTCCTTGTTTATGAACCAGCCCGGCACCTCGGCTGTTTCGTAATTGCCCGACACCCAGAAAAAATCATCGTCGTGCAGATCTTTATCCGGGGTGCCGGTTACAATTTTTTCCTTGCCCGGCCTTATCTTCAGGTAATAAGCTAGGCCGTCCCCGGTGTGGCCCATTGTGTATTGCCTCAGTATCTCGGCTAGACCTAAGTTGGTGCCTAGCCGATTGTTCAATTCGTGAACGCCGTTGATTATTCTATAAGTATTGGTGGACACTTGTGTGGGTGCTAGCCCGGTTCGGCGGAGGAACTCGGTTATAAGTGGGTTTAGTGGGAAACGGAGGCCTCCTTCGACAATTGAGAGCACGGTGAAGGGGCATTGGTCTATTCTGCCCCAAGGTGTTGTCTCTTCTTCAGCCAATTCGAGATGGACGTCGGCCGGGATGCCGTACTCCTCTCTGAAAGCGGCTAGCGCGGCCGGAGTATCCACTAGGAAGCGGAATTTCCCCATTTGTGGCCGGCTTAGTGTATCCCGGCTGAGGGGTTTGGCACCGGTTATCGGATGCTGCTCGGTCCTGAGAGCCTCAGGAATGACAGTGGTCCCCTTGGATTCTGCAGGAAAAGGATGGCAAGTGTTAAGTGTTAGCGCGGTCGCGCAAAAGGAGCTGGATTTTAGCTCGGTCATTAAGGGTGCCAAACCACCTCAGTTGTCTATCTAAGGAACTCGGTCGCCCAAGCAGACCAGATGTTAGCCCGGTTGAGCGACCAAGTCCTTTTGTTATCTCAGTTTTTGCTGGGTTTGAGACAAACATGTTATTTGCTCGGTTAGATTGGTTTTTTGGATCAAAAGAAGACCAGAAGCCCGGTTCGCTCCAGTTCTTCAGTGTTCTTCAGGAAGAGGAAGAACACCAAGAACAGTGGGAGGTTTGGGACGGATTCTATGGCCTATGCCCTAATAGCTATGTTTTTGTGCCCTAATGTGTGCAATATGAAAGAAAATAGCAACTAAGTGAAGGCGGAATGACTTACCAGTGAAGGGCAGGACCTAATCCCTCAAGCACGAAGAATGGCAGCAAGTCTGGATGAAGATGCAAGAGCTCTGAGGTCGAATATCGAAGTGGCAGTAGGAAGATTTGGAGTTTGAGAAGGGCAAGTATGTATAGGCGAAGGAGACCGCCCAAATTCAAATTCTGGCAAAAACGGCGGGTTGGCTGCCCGATGACCAATGGCAGCCCGCCACGTGTCCCCATTTATGGCTACAACAGGACTGAAGCGACGGGTCGCAAATACGAAGAGCCAACCGAGCTACTTTCGACGAAGAGGATGTCAGCCGAGGAATATAACCGGGCAAGTTTGCGGACAATTATGTTAACTAGCCCGGTCGAGGTTCGGCGTCTTAAAGACCGGAGAAATGTTATCTCGGTCGAAGTGAGTAATCCCAGTCACGCTTTCGCGGACGGAATTAAGGGGCAATTGAGAGGGTGATTTATGATCTGGAGTTGGGCCGAGGTAGCGACCGAGCAGGTTGAGAGCCCAACAGTGCATTGGGCCGAGATGATCGACTGTTCGCCCAGAGAAGGGCTGCCAGAACTTGAGCCGGGTAGAACTTGGGCTGAGTGCGTCCCGCCCCAGACCGTAAAGAAGCAACTCGGTAAGACGGTGCTCGGTCGGACCATGATGCTCGGTCCGAGGTTAGTCGAAGCCAGACAAGCCGAGTGACCGGTGCCCGGAAAGGCGCGGTCGCCCGAGGTTACGTTTTGACCGGCATGAAAGCTGACCACGGGGTGCTTCGGGCTAGGCTTTGCCGAGATGCCGCCTAGCCCGGTTCCCCCTTGGACTTTGCCAGGGAAGTGATTGGGTATGAAGCACGGCACGGCGCAACAACGCATAGGGCAGCTCGGCTGCCGAGCTCCAGCTGTGATGACAGGCAGTTGAGATTAGGTGATGATTGGCATGGTTTATGCTGACAGATGGGATAGCGGAGCCACATGTCAAGAGATGACTGGGAGTGGATATGGGGCTCAGAAGGTATATAAGCATGTCTGCGCCCCCCATGCGCGACACACGAACATCTCTGTAAGGAATTCTTACACTCAAACACTCTCTCCCTTCTCTCTATCCATCCTAAGGTGTGTGCTAACTTGATCGTCGGAGGGTTTTTCCGGCCACACACCGCCGGGTAGCTCACCGTTACTTGCTCGCAGGTGATCGGACATCGACGGAGCTCGGAAGAAAGGAGTACGGGCTTGCCGGAATATTTGCTCCCCGTACACGTAGCATTTGAAAAAAAATAAATTTCATTTGACTTTTAGAAGTGGGTTCAAATCTATAATCTTTCAAAATTTATAAAAATACTGATTTTGAAACTATTTCTCATCAATGAAAAGTTCACGGATAAAAGAAATGGAAGTTCATCTCAAATTCCTTCAACGCTTGCATATGATTCTGTCATTTCATTTCCAGTCGTTTGTTTAATTGTGTTCTCATTTTATTTTTGTTTTAATTTTCGGAAACAAAACCAACGAAAAGTTTTTAAAGTCATCCATTGCTTCTCATTTTGGCCCAAAAAAATTTGACAAATAAACAGTGAGTTGTCTTTGGTAAAAAAATTTGAGGTAATATTTTATATAAGATTAATCATCAAATATATATTTATCAGAGTGCGCAGCGGATAGCTTACATATATGTCAAATTCCGAGGATGAAATTTTTAAAATGAAGAAAGATTATAACAACCTAAAAATTTAAGTTGCCTCTTAAATTTTATATTAGCATTATTTAATTATAATAATTTCAAAAAAATAATTTTAACTTTATATTATTATTCGATATTATTTTCTAAGTATTATAATATTTTTATTATTTTTTTTCTATATTTTTTCTAAACCAAAATATACTAAACCATAACATTTTATGTACAATAAAAATATGTGCGCCCCATGTTACTGTGCTGCCTACACGTCCTGCGCCCCATGTTACTGTGCTGCCTACACGTCCTGCGGCCCACGCCTATACCCTATATATATCTATATAACAAAACAACTCTGTTTTTTTTTTGGATGGGACTTCTGTCTGTTTGTCAAAATATGAACCATTGGATTGAACTCAATCCAAAGGCTCACAATGTCTCACTCTATTTGATCCAAGATCATTTTCAACCCACAGCCCGTCTCTCAGACACACACTCTCATCTCTTTGTTTCTGATTTCAAATTTTGAAATCTGACCCACCTTCTCTCTCTCTCTCTCCTCATCAACCCTTGCAGGCAACCGAACCCAAAACCCCTATTAGTCTCTTCATCTTCTCTCTTCCTCCCTTCTCTCTTCCTAATCATCATCTTCTCTCTTCCGACCGAATGGATCAACTATATATATGACTCAGAGATGGGAGATTCAGAGATTCAGAGATGGGACCGAATGTATGTATATATATGCATTTGTATGTATTATGTATGATTATGTGATTTTATATATGATTATGGATGATTATGGATGTATATGTATATATATGTAGATTTTATATATGATTATGGATGTATATATAGATTTTATATATGATTATGGATGTATATGATTCCAATATGGGGTGTTTGTTGGATCGAAGTGAGAGTTGTTTTGAATGTTACGAAATTATATGACTAAGAGATGGGAGATTCAGAGATTCACATTAAATGTGAGATATTAGTTTTGAATGTTAAATATTCTTGGGAATGATCATGATTATGATTCTGCCATTAATTTCTGCTTAACTATTTTGAGTGGAGCTGGGGCAGTTCATTTCTTGAGTGAATCTTTTGAATAATCGGTGGCCCAAATTTTAATGTCTCATCAGATGATAATCAATGTAATCAACTTTTTTTTTTTCCTTTTTTTTTTGGGAGAGGGGGGTAATGGGTTTGGATTTTTATCTATCTGTGGTTTAGAAAAATAATGAAAAGATGAGAATGTGTTTTTTTTCTTGAAAGTCATATTTTGGATTGTACCTACCCAAAAATATTTTGCATTGAATTTTCATTTTCTTGAATTGTACAATGGCAAATTATCGATTCTCTCTCTCACTTGATCATCTTACAGATAGACACTTGCAATGGTTTTTACTGCGAAGCCTTCAGACCGAAAAAAGAGCCATAACCCAAAAATGTGGACTGAAGCTTGGACTGGCTAGTAAGTCACACATATGTCACCCATATAACTTAAAAACTTTTTTTCCCCCCTATTTCTTTGTTGTTTTAATTATAAATTGTTTCATCATTCAAACAACGGAACTCAGTTACATTTTTTCTGAATTTCTTAATTCAGTCTTTGGATTCCTGTTTTATCCTCAGGTATACAAAGTTTGGTGGTCCAATTCCTCAGAGACCTGTTGAAGACTTGGCATTTTTAGTGGCAAGGTTTATACAAAATAATGTTTCCTTTATTAAGTAAAGTATATTTTTTATATACTTAATTGTATGTTTATCTTATATCAAGTAAAGTATATTTTTTATATTTCTTATTTTTTTTTCTTTCATTAGTACCATGGAGGAACAAATTTTGGACGGACGGCTGCTGGTCTCTTCATTGCCACTAGCTATGATTATGATGCTCCAATTGACGAATATGGTATGCATACACATGAAAATAACTTGATTATATTATGCTGAGGTTTTTGTTTGTATTACAATCTTTACTTACGCAATTAAGATTTAAGATTGTTGCCAATGCATACAAGTAGTCTATTTGTGCAAACACACATTGCATGGAAGGAATGAGACCGTACAATGTAACACATGAGATCATTAGCACAATTATTCTACCTGGGAGCAGAATAAAGATTTTTGTTTTGTGGACTATAAATGATCTTTTTCATAATTGACAATCAAAAGAAGTAAACAATTTGAAGTGATAATAAAAAAAACAATACACAATTCAATATCACATAAACACCAATCACATAGAAGTATTATTCAATCGTTCAATCCCCAGATATAATTTTTAAACTAAACAGGCAAGAGAGTGAAAGAGATTGAACATCGATGGGATAAAAAGAATGGTTCACCTTTGCAAGAGCATCTCATTTTTGGGGAACAAGAGAGGAAATAGAGAGAAAAACAAAGAAGTAAAAGAGAAATGAGGGAAGGATAAAAAAGAAAAAATAATCTCAAGAAAAAGTTCTTACTTAGCAAAATAACATACAAGCAATTGTAAGGACTTCATTGAAGCAAAGTGGACAATATAAGATTCATGGGCAAAAATAAAATCTGAAAGGGTAAAATTGGAAACTTTTTTCACAAATATATGTCAAAATAGAATTTTTTAAAAGTTCAGTTGGGGCATTTGAGAAATTTGCACACTTGCCAGTTGCCATTTGCTAGCTCTGCCCATGATATTCTGCCTGTATGTATGTTATATGGTAGGGCTTTTCTGATGCAAATAATGATATTTTCGGCATTTTTATGATGGGTAATTTATCATATGCAAGGATTACAAAGGGAACCAAAATGGGGACATTTGAGAGACTTGCATAAAGCCATCAAGCTATGTGAACCGGCTTTAGTTTCTACATATCCTACAGTGACTTGGCCGGGCAATAATCTCCAGGTTTGATTAACTCTTCTGAGGCTACAAGAAAGCTATGCATATCTACTACAATTTTCTTCATGTGCATCTTTTTGACAATCATCGATATTAGCTCCTTTTCTCATTATTTTTCATTTTCCAGGTTCATGTATTTAACTCAAAGTCTGGTTGTGCTGCATTCCTTACAAACTACGACACAAAATCTTCAGCAATAGTGACCTTCCAAAATATGTGATATGACCTCCCTCCTTGGTCCGTCAGCATTCTCCCCGATTGCAAGAATGCGGTTTTCAACACCGCAAGGGTAAGGAAATAGGGTTTTCCCTTTAAAAAACATTCTTTGAAAAAAAAAATCAAGAAGAAGAAGAAGGAAAGAAAAATAGTAGTGTCCTCTAATTGTTTCAATTTTTTTTGTCTTTTTCACATTTATTTGAAGTCTATTAAGTTTTTTTGGTGCTTTTTGATGTCTTCTCAAGTCATATATTTAACATCATAATTTGGAATGATACTTTGGATACTTTTAATTTTGAAAATGATATGCATACATTATTTTCATGCGGGATTTAAGATAAGAATAATGTGGTAATGACATTCTTGCAATTATGAACCAAAGTGACAAGCATTTTGATTTCCAATGAATTGATATAAATGAGACACATCATTCATTCTGTAGGAATTTTTATTTATTTTTGTATGCGTAGCATCACCCTTTTAATTTCATTTATAGAAAGCTTTCATTATGTCATAATTTTGTACATATAAAAAGTATTAGAAAATAGGAGTAAAACTGCATGCATCTTGCCCTCCCCAGAACTCACTTTTGTTCAGTGTGTCAAGTTTGATTTAATTTTGAGAAAATTAAGGTTTAGCTTTTGTTCAATGAACATCTCTTTCAAAAAGTTCCCAAAAGTTCCCAATCAATTTTTTTTACAGATAAGCTCCCAAAGTTCATAGATGAAGATGGTACCTGTAATTAGTGGAGCATTCTGGGAGTCATACATCGAAGAAACTGTCTCTGCCGATGATTCAGACACGGTTGCAATGGATGGACTATGGGAGCAAATAAACGTGACCAGAGATGCCTCAAACTATTTGTGGTACCTCACAGAGTGAGTGTTGTTGAGAGAGTTTTCATTACAAATTTAATAATAACTCATCACACACAAATTGACTTTAACACACCACACACATTGGTAATTTTCATCATAAAAATTGATAACTGTCTTATGATGTGCATCTTTTTTTTTTGACAAATAAACAAACTTTATTAATATGATGAGCATCCTTTTAAGAGTGGACATTATTAATTTCCCCTAATATATTAGAAATCAATATTTAGCCAAGAGAATGCATTAAAAATATATATATTCAAAGAACAAGATTGAAACCTTAAACAAATAAATTATGGGTTTGTTGGGTTTGTTGGATGCTCTGTTCTGCAAAGTAAATGTAATACTCTCATCTCTTTCTTAATAGATTATTGTGTGTATATATATTGATTACAGATTTTTTTTGTTTTTTTTCTTTGAAGCCATAAAGACCATCAATTGATCATTAGTGGAATAGAGAAAGAACGATTCCCAAAATCAAACTGTGAGTATTGTTTTTCTTTAATTTTCTAGATGCATGTAGGATTTTGGGTATACTTTTATGGGTTTTGTTGATTTTTCTTATTCATATATATTATCTATGTATATATATTTTTCTTATTCATATATATTATCTATGTATATATATATATACACACATATATATGAAGAGTTGGTTGGGTTCTACGAAACCCATTTACTTTGATTTGGTAGGAATTAGTGGGACTATTGTATTGGGTTATTTTATTGAATGGTTGTTGTGCCATTACTATTGTTTGGTTGTTACAAAAATGTTTGATAATCATTCTATCTTCCTTGCTTATTAAGTGTTTGATAAAATGTTTCAATGAAATTTACACACACACAAATTGACTTTGACACACCACACACCACACACATTGGTAATTTTCATCATAAAAATTCATAACTATCTTATGATGTGCATCTTTTTTTTTTTTTTTGGACAAATAAACAAACTTTATTAATATGATTTGCATCCTTTTAAGAGTGGACATTATTAATTTCCCCTAATATATGAGAAATCAATATTTAGCCAAGAGAATGCGTTAAAAAAATAAATAAATAATTTAAAGAACGAGATTGAAACCTTAAACAAATAAATTATGTGTTAGAATTAAAAAAATAAATTATACAAAAACAGATCAAACCTGAACTTGAGCTTTTTGTACAAGAAAAAAAATTGTCAAAATTGACCTGACCTACTTTAGTCAATTTGATAGAGACAAAGTCATTTTCATTCATTTTTTATTTTTGCAATCTCATTGATCAAAAGTACCATTTGTATATACTTTTATGGCATTCGAAGAATATTCAATAATTTTTCAAGTATGATTTAATTATTATTTAATGTTACAAGTCTATTGGACGAATTAATTGTTTTGTATAAATTTCTTTTCCTTTTCTTTATTGTGATTTAAAATTTCTTTTCCAATTGTCAGTGCTGAATTTATCTGTGAATAGAATCAGTAATAAACTTATCTTTTCCCTACAAATTTGGATACTCTGTTTTTTGTCATCCCATCATCCCCACCATCACCAACAAAGCTCTCACTCTCTGTCAAATCAAATGGGGGTTAAAGGAAGAAATTGGTTTCATGTTAATACCCATTTTTATTTCATGTTAGTCAAATGGGTTGAGGATTGTTAACATTAAATGGGTTAATGTGAACATTAAGGTTAACCTGACTGTTAACATTAAGCTGAAAATAATATAGATGGTCATATTTTTTATTCATAGTTTCTAATTAGACAAAATATTTTTGGTATTTATTGAATACTTTTGTATTTATTTAAGCTTTATCTAGAACATTATTTAGTGGTGATTTGCAGAATGATGATGAATTGTGGTGCACAACAGATGTGAGCAGTGGTTTTGTTTTGGGATAATGTTCTTATACTTTTTTTTATTATTATTATTATTTTGAGAAGTGCTCTCCCAGATTTTGGATTTGGTGCTCCTTCATTTCTAAAAGATATATTTTGTTTATAGTGATTTTTTTGGATATATTTATTGATATTGACATAAAACAGTGCATCTTTAGTTTAAATTTTATATTATTAGTTTGGCATCTGCATATGTGTGTGGTTTTGATTGATTGCTTGAAATAGATGGTTTGATTCTTGATCAAGAGAAACTAACAAAATGCGTAGAAAAACATAGTGCAATAGCTTATATCTTTGTCAGATTGATTCAATTTAGTTAAATTAATAGTATTGAATAATAGTAAAATGAATATATACTGTCTTTTGGGTATAAATAGGACATTTTCATGATTTCATTGTAAATTTTATCATTTTTACTTGAATAATCAAATGAAATTGGGAAGTTTGAACTAAAAAGTTTTGTGGATGGGGCTGTTTTGTTGAGTATTGGTCATTTGGGACATTTAATTTTGTTTTTGCATGTAACCTTTGTTATTAAGTGATTTTGAATAGAGTTTCAATAGAGTTGTTAATAGTTGTTGATTCACTTCCTCCCTCTCTCAACTAAATCTCAATTTGCTTTTTAATTTTTAATTTTTATACTGGTTTGGTTTTGGATTCAGTTTGTGTGGAATTCAAAATATAAAATTTTTATTTTTTTAAGTTGAATTGAAGGTATGAGATGTTGTGGTCATGACTGAAATTTGGTTTTGGAGTACTTGCCACCATTGACTGAATTTCATTATAACTTTTCTAGCATTTTCTACTACTTATTTGGTTTCATTTGTGGGTTTTTGATTATATCACGTTTTTTATACAAGCGTAATTATGCTAATTACATTTTTTGGAATTTTAAATAAACACAGAATCATATTTGAACTATTTTTTTTTCCCAAGTGGATTTGGCATAACTGTTAGTTTTGCCCTCTTTCCTAAATTGTGGAATTTAAGTTTTTATCATTAAGTTGATTGTTAAATTGTAATTTGTGAACTTTATCATTTCTTCTTCCAAAATTTTCTTTGTTAACATCTAGGTGATGACATAGGATGTTCAGTTCAAATATCAGTTCAGTTTTTAATTTGTAGTTCCTAATGTGCCATTATGGAGTAACAAGAAGATTTTAGAAAAATTATGGAGTAACAACCATTTGGGTGCTTTTTGAATGGCTAAGTTCTCTCTCTCTCTCTCTCTCTCTCTCTCTCTCTCTCATGTACTCAGCCACCGAAATTGAAGTTGGGTTGATGTTTATCAGTTTGATATAGAGGAATTAACGATGTTGACATGCCCAATAGCCACTGCACCCACTTCGCCTTTCCTCTTTGCCGGTATGTAAGCACTACTTCCTCAAATGGCTCTTCTTAAAATACTACTCTCCACACTTTAAAATTTTCTTTGATTTTTTTTTTCCTTTCCCCCTTCTATTGTTCATTTTCATCACTTGAATTATAGGCTGTTAGGTGATGGAATATACAAGTGGATGACATGGATTGCACAACTGGAAGACAACGCGTATCTAACGTAAAAAACGTTTTCTTTTTACTGTCATTCCTTCTTTAAATACTATAAATGCATACACATATGTATGCGTATAATGTAATGGATAGAATGAGTTTATTTAACGTGAATAGATCAAATGGTTCCATTTGAAAGATATTTGTTTGTGAGATTGTAATTCCCTTTGAAAGATCAATTGGATTTGCAAATGGATCTTTTGATCTTTTTCAAGCATCAAGCATTTATGGTGGTGTGCTATTGGCAATAAGAAATAATCAGATCTAAAATGCATATAGAGATGTTGAATCAAGTTTAAAGTGGGACTACACTTGAGGCTATACATATAGAATGCATGATTATTTATGTTTTGGTTTCAAATTAATTCATGAACTATATGTATTAAGTAAATCTCTCCTGATTTCATATTGTAATTACAAAGTAAAAGGGCAAGGGAATTAAAAATGATTGTAATTGTCTATATGTGTATACTGAAAGTTTCATATACATTGTGACATGGAGTTTAACCTTGAATATGAAGAATTATTAATGGATTGAGTAGATCATAACTATTCAATAGTTTGTCTTAACTTTTATTTTTTATTGGTCAAAATGTATTAACTTGAATGTGAAATTTTTTTTTTTCAAACTTAGAGTGCCGTAGGCACGGGTCATCCACTAGTATATATATATAGATGCATATTGATGCCAATTTCATAACCTTTTCACCCAAACTTTCTAATTCTCTCTCTCTCTCCGCTCTCTAGCTTCTTTTCTTTATTTTTTTTTTATATATATAAATTTGAGTTTAGTTCGGAGTATTTAGTGCGTCACAATGAACGAAAGGTAAAAGTTAAAATTAACATTAAGATAAGTTATATTATACCTTAAGTAATCACAATATATTTTACGTATATTTTGAATTACTATAATTTATTTTATGTAATTTGTATTTTATAAATTATATAAATATTTCAATTACGTTGCTAATTTTCTTAACCCTATTTACTTAAATTAGAACTCATGGATATGTTTGTTTAAATTTTAATAATTAGTTGACAATGATTTCATAAGCAATTATTTTCTGTAAGTACCACCACGGGAGTCCCACGCCTTGGGAGACTTAAATAAATCATTGACTTCTGATTGGTCATCTTATAGCCCTCTGTTTATTATGGATCTATTGACCTCTGTTCTGTACGGAGCAAAGTGCTGTGCAGATTGTGGGAGCCACCTTTAGAATCTGTACAAGTCACCTCTTGAGTCCGTATCTCTCTATTGTGATGAATCTATTAACCCTTGTTCTGTTTTATACCGTGGTTATGATTATATATTTTAGTACAATATCATATGATTTCTGAAACGAATTTCTGTTATAATATAAGCAACTTATTTATTCTAATAGAAAAGTATTCTATTTTATCTATTTTAAGCCTTAAGCTTATCGATGGTAATTATGCTCTCAGTATAATATTCTTACTCTGTCATGGGCTTATAACTGTTTGCCGATTTTCAAGAAACAATGCAATTCAAAAATAGCTTTTAGAGAATCTTAGACGCGAGGCTGCGGAATAGATACACATAATACTTTTATATTATTTATAATTCTATACTTTGTATGTAAATATTAGTCTTTTTTATCAATAAATTTTATTATAAAATAGAAGCTACTCACTTAAATATTATTTTCACTCATGTTTATTTATTTGTTCAAAAATTGACCGTAAGTAATTTCAATTACTAATCATCATGATACTTAACCCTTAAATATAAAGAGCGACAAACGGTCCCAACTCTCTTCTATTTAAGCAATGCAAGTGTGAAGGAATCCATTATCTCAAAATTGCTACACACAAAGTAAAATAGAGAGAGACTTAAAGGTCCATTTGGAGGAAGCTTATTAGATCGTTGGACTTGGCACCGTGATCCAACATAGCAAAATGACTTGTATACGACAATTTTGTGTCTGCTTATTAAACCATGAAAATATGTTTTCTATTAAAAGGGATAAGGCTCAACTCGTCATTGCCAAAAAAACATAACTTTTTGCCTATTTATATTTTTTATATAAAAAAAAAATAAAGTGAATGGAAAGGAATTTTGATTTTATAGTATGACTGGGCAAAAACTTTTTGATTTTTCGATTTTTTTGCTAAAATAGCGTAACATCTAAATGGAACTAATTAAGAGTAAGTAAAGTATTAGTAGTAGTAGTATACCCACTAAATCTTTTAAGCCTTGTTTGACTAGCGAAATTAATAGGGAGAGAATTAACAATCTATGAAATTAATGTACGATTAATTATCTAGATTGATTAGTGGGATAAATAATTTACTCTTATTCACATTTATTCTGTAAGAGATATTGAAATATATAATTGTTGGCTTTTTGGCTTTTCGAAGGGTATTTTTGTAAATGTGAGCGTGCCAGCAAGGATCAATTAGTCCTTACAGAAATTGTGATTGCCAACCAATTACCAAACGATTGTGTTTTAGTTCTTTCAGCCTCAATGAAGAGGACTTTTAATGGTGGCTTGACTTAGGAGAAATTAAGAGAAATAACAATTAATATGAAGAACAATGGAAGTACTTCATAAAAATGAAAAACTTACAATAGTCCAAACTCAGCCTCGAAGAGGTTTACAGCAACAGTCTACTTGAATCTACTTGGGACTACTCCTATGAATTGAAGTGCAGTGCAGATATGTAAAGTGCAGGTATTGAAAGTACAGGAATGTAAAACTAGAAAGTAAAATATGAAGTAAAGACTGGTATGTATGATCTGAGTTCCGTCCTTTTTCCTGGGGGTCTCTCTGCTATTTATACTTATCAAAGATGACCTTCGAACTGCTCTTCGAACCATCGAACTGCTCCTCCATGATCGCTGATCATGTTGCCTTAGAAGTAGCTCCATTATGCCACCATTTGCAGTTAGGCTTCCCTCCTGTATTTGAATTTGAATATGAGTAACCGTTGAAGCCACGTCACCTTGCGTTTCTTTACTGATCCAATGTTGCTCAGACCATGTGAGAACCAATTATCATCACCACGTGTACGATCAGGATTGGTGACTTAAATTATTTTCCAATAATACCCTTATTCTGCCACGTGTCGGATTGTAACTGACTTTTACAAAATATATAGCTAACAATAATCTTAATTATTTGTTTGTAAAGCATTATTAGTTGTAGGATTAAAAAAAGAAGAAATATCATTTTGCCCCCTAAACTATCACGCGTTTTTCAATTTGACCCCTATATTTCGATTTATTTCAATTTAGTACCTGAACTTTCAACAAATTGATCAATTTAACCCCTGCCATCACATTCCGTCTACAATTGGACGGAATGTGCTAACATGGCACCAAAGTTCATTTAGAGTCATTTTACCCCCCAAACTATACCTTAAAAATCAATTTGCCCCCTAAATATTAAAAAAAAAAATTCAATATTTAATAAATATTTTTATGTTAATAATGAAAAAATTATATTTTGAATAATATATACTTTGCAAAAAAATATAAAAGTCCTCATTTAGAATTATCTTCAGATTATGAAGCATGGATACTTCGACAAACATGTCATACACATACCGGTTACTTACTGAATTTTGAAAAAAATTTCCTACTCAATTTTGAAATTACTATTAGTTGATCAATATTATTGAAATTAATTTGGGTAATAAACTAGTTACAATTGCGCTACACACACAGAGTAGTCAAGAAATTTTCGGCTCAATAAGTGTCTCTAGGATCAACTCGAGATAATTTGAGACCTATGAAGTACAAGTAAGGATATGATTGTTGAACAATCTTCACTGTATTTAAAAAATAATTCTGTTTGTGTACTTAACAACAAACGGAATACAGAAGAAATAAAGGAAAGAAGAGAGTTTGTTTGATTACAAAAATCAAACCAGAAAATAAAATATAATAAATAAAACAGATTTTTATTTTGTTACAAAAACAAAACCAAAAATTGAAACAGAAAAAATAATAAAATAGAAAAGTAAATTAAATACTTACCAAATTAATTTATTGAACAAATTTTCTGATCAAGTCCAGTATTTAACACCGTGTCCTTAAGACAGATTCGTCCTCTCCACGGTGCTTTCAAATTGTGGACGTCTATTTCTCAGGATAAAATGATCAACAATGAATAGTAGCAGCACTACACACTATTTACATAACGAACACACTTTGTGTATACACTCTTTCTCACAAAAAATTAATTACACTATCTCTCACAGAAAAAATTAATATGTTTAATGCAGGAAAATGCAGAGATGAATGGCAGCAGAGAAGTACGAAAATTGAAGTAAAAAATCCAAATGAGGGACTACCTTTATATAGGAAAATTCATGGCTATATGGTTTGAATTAAACAAGTGCAAAACCTGTTTGAACAGGTATGTTACCTGTTCGGTTTGAATAAATAGATACAAATCTGTTGTGTTCAAATTTTGAATAGATAAAAATCGTATTGAACAGATTTGAATTTGTCCGGGTGGGGAAAAAATTGGAGCCAAATTTGAAATTAATTTTCGAAATTCAAATTCCAAAAAATTAGAATTTAATTTTAGAAAAGTAAAATTCAAATGTTTGTGGCCCAAAAAGATAAGTATTGGGTCGGACAAGTTCAACCCAATCTCACACCACGCACACGCACCCAGGCCCAGTCCACTCGACCGACCGGATGGACGGCGCGTACGTGTGAGTTTATTTTGGGTCCAATGGATCTAGGTTACTTTGCCCATAACCTCTCCATCTACAAAACTTGGGTGTCCCTTGGGGCATATCCCAAGTTCCAAACTCAAGCCTTATAAACCCACTCAAAGTATGCCCACCAAATCAATGTAGGACAAACCTTAAACCAC